TCAATCTGACTGAGTTCTGTAGTTAACTGTAGGCTACTGGCACAAAGAAAAACTATGGATCTATGAGACGATCAAGCGTAGGGCATTTGTCACAAAATTGGTTATTTTGAAAAAAATAACCAAAACTAGGATCAGGAATCGATTATTGTAGCTACAGGAAAAGTTTAATGAAATAAACCATCTTTGCCGTTTTTCTGCACTTCGCGAATAGCCCAAGCTTGACGCAAAAATATTCGTTGCTCTTCGCTCGAAAAAAAAAGTCTTACTATATGAAAAGCCCCCTAAGAAGACCAGTAACACACAAATTGGAATACGCCAGAAATTGACAAACATCAACATCTAATGCTATTTCAGGTAACAGACTAAATTCCAAAAGAAGTGTGTTTAACACCCAATTTTTTAAGCGCAAAGTGTTACCACTCGCCTTAATTACAATGTTGGGAAAGTCCAGGAGATGCACCTCCAGGGGATCAAGCATGCCCTTGCGTGTGACTATGATCTGTTTGGGCTGTTCTTCCACAGGCAGAGAACGGATGAGCGCAGCCACCTCTTCGGCCGTCTTCCATTTGGCCAATTGACCCAACCGTTTCTGACCCGCCCACACGGAGGTGTGAATAATTTTAAGGAAGAGCTGACCTGTTCGTGGGTTGAAAATGAAAATCGCACCATTTATGGGTTTGGTTGTGAGATTGCCCTCGAATGTCTGTGGAGGGAGGGGGAGAGAAAGACATCGTGATTATTAAGGATGCATTTATGCATATTTACCTACAGTAAAAGTCTCCAAAACAAGGTGACTGGGACAACTTTCTATGACTTGATTTGAGGCCAACATCAAGGAATCATGGTAAAGCATACAAATTGACTTAGTAATGGATATGTTAAGAAAATCAGTCGCTAAACAGGTTAGGCCTGACCTTAAAAAATTGAGATTAAGTTTGTAAATCAGAATATGCCAGCGATAATGAACAAACCTTGTGTATAGTGACACGATAGACGTTGGTGTCATCCACAAACCAAATAGTCTGGTTAGAGAAAAGCTCATTGTAGTTCTGTGAGCTGAGATAAGGCTCTGTCGGTTCGCTGGAATAGAGCTGCAAAGCCTTGCGAATGCGTTCACGCAAAACGTAGAGGGCGGGATTAGCCTTCATGATCTTCAGCATGGCCTGTTGAATGAGTGGCTTGCAGCCAGGGAACCAGTTACCGTAAGCGCTGAAAGCGAAAAACCATCAGGTGTACCTATATAGCTACCTTTGAACCTACAAAACGGCCTTCGTTGAAGCCCTGCTGCTCAGTAGATGTTTGCACGTTTCTCGTGTAAAAGATCAAGATGGACGCGAATACACTGGTTACAGCATTTACTCCAGAAGTGTCCTCATGATGACATCTAACAAATGGGTATTTTTTACATCACCCACCAATCAACTGCCAAAGGAAATAACACAACACAATACCCGCCGGTGGAAGTAATAAATACTATGAGCAAAACTATTTGAAAGCTTTAGACCATCATATAGAAAAGAATGGTAAAAATGTGTGAAAAATCCGGAAAATACAGAAAGGAAACTGGGGTTGAAGTTACATGTATCGTATGGATTAGCTTTGGAGACCATATTAGGGAACTAAAATTCCAAATTCGCGACTTAAATGAAACGTACCTACGTTAACATGCTTACTCAATTGTTGCTCACTCTAAGATTCATTGAAAAGCTACAGAGTTGCCAATTTCTGCAACTGTGAAAAATATTGCAAAGGCGCCTAAGCAGTGCCCAAAATGGAAGGAAAAAAGGCCATTAACATTACCTCAGTTCAAAGATGAACAAAGTATGACGCCTGCAGTTGTGCCCAAAAAGAGTAAGAAAAACTGAATGATACACTCTATGCTCCAACCCCATGGAGGCTGCGACTGTTTGGTCTACTCAGTTTGCGTAACATCCCAACAAAATGGAAAGAATTTAGCTTATCTTTCCGCATTACAGAGAAGTAGGGTACGGTTGTGTTACACACTGTTTCCTCTATTCTAAGAGGAACGAAAGAATATCAAGTATCACAAACGAATCACAAACACTAGAAAATGAACGTTCGAGACGATGACGAATCTACCAATTTAAAAATGTTTTGACTTTAGAGCCGCCGACAGTAACAGGAAAATTAGTGACAAGATTAAAATAAGTATGAGAGTGACAAGAGCGATACCTGTGAAGATTGTAGGCAAGATCAATGGCAATCATGACGCCAGTGGGCGAGGGGTAGATAGACATAGTATCGGTGGTGTAGTCGAGGAATTTGGCTCTGCAGTAGCGTTCCACGTCGTGGGAGTCGTAATCGCCCCAACGCAGCTGCACATCGATCCAATACTTTTGCGTCGTTGTGCCATCCATCACGTCCCTATGTGACAACACTAAATTAGCGTTCGCAAATGACTTTTTAAGGCGACCCGAGAACATCGACACAGCCAAGCCTAAGTTAAGACATATTTTTTGATAACCGACGATGGTCTCAAGTGGGATGTTAAATTTGTGCACAAAATTACCAAGGGTACTTCGATCAATGGAGCATGAAAACAAAAAGCTGAGTAAAATGCATGGTGACAACAAATCAAACAGCAAAAAACAACGTAGTAAGTTCGCGAAAGCAGAAGGCCAGATAATACATCCTAAATCATCTCCAAAATTGCTCGAAAAGAAGATAAAAGATCGTTGAAATGCGTTACAGATCATCTAGCGGCAGAAAAACACTTCTCTATATCAGCTGCATAAAACCTATCTGATTCTTATAAAAATAAGAGCAAAATAGTACGAAAGCAGGCCGTAACAATTCTCCAAAATAGCGTCAAAAGCTTACTTTCCCACACAACTGGGGTAAAAAACTATCCATGTCGTTTGGACAAAACGAAAACATCATTCCGAAAAATTAAAGGGTAAAGAAAATGGACACAGTATTTAGAACAGTTTCTTGGAGAATGCAAGCTGCCATTTCACAGCGGACATCGAAAGTGACTATGTGTAGTTTCTCCATTCGGGGAGAAAATAAATAAAGACCGCGACTGAGTGGAACAATTTGGTAAAAGGCGAAAATTTCGAATAGAACAAACATTTGTTAAATCATCTGCACAGCTGATTGAAAAGCTACCAAATACCTTAGATCAATTAAATAGTCCTAGTGGCAGAACAAATCAACTAACTTTGAATCAGCCAAGAGACTGGGTCGAGAGACAGGCCACTTGTACGAGGCAAAGAGGAGGATGTCAGCACAGCTAGAGTTCATTTTGTAGGACTTGCGAGGGTGGATAGTCTCCTTCTGCACCGTCTCAATTTCTAAGGCATCGAGCTCCTGATCAAAGACCTGGCAAAGATCCATTACCACCGACTCGTGGATCTTCTGCCACAAGTGGGCACGGAAAATTTGAATGAGAGAAATCTTCAGCGTAGGAATTTTGCCGTGCATGAAGATTCCAGTTAGATCCAACTGTACTTGGAAACCTACGTACACCTGTGAATTAAAATACGCGTCATTGCCCTACTTAGGAACAAATAATGGACTGTTCCAGACTGTTATTGCACGCCTCATGAGTGACTGGAATGCCAATGCGTAGAAAAGCATACTCTAGTGACACGGCCAGTCCCATGGTTTGCGGTAAACTAAAATACCCGCTAGACCTTCGGGACTAGTAGCATCATAAATAAACCGAGTACCTTCAAAATTTCGAATGGTGAAAGGAGTGCTGAAAAAACAGGACCACTCAAGTTAATATGAACGATGACAAACTAAATCCACAGTGAGAAAGTGCTTAGAAATAGCTTGTAACATTTTCCGTTGGAGGAAACCCAGCACGGGTTTCACAAAAGTAATATTTCGCAAATAAATAAGACGCACTCAGATACATGTAAAACGGAGCAAATTCTATTTCATTTACTGATTGTGGTTATAGCTACGCAGCGATTGCGCAAAATCACGAATATTCCCCGAGCTAACTACTCGGACAAAGTAAAAACAGTAGTAACGAAGGGAATGACGTGCGCATTAGACAAAGCACATAAGTGGTAAGAAAAAGTAGAACACTAAATTAAACAATAACAACAAGAAGGTATGCGACCGCCTAAGCAGTTGATAATATCAATTTTTTGAGTGGTACAACCCTTGGAACTCCAGCCACGCCAAGATACAGTAGTATTTTCAAAGTTGCGATGGAAGCAGATGAATGAACGAAAAACGAGCAAAATGCTCAAACGGTACGATCCCACTCACATTAGCACGATTAATAGTAGGTGACCACCATAACGTGAATCGACGATTTGGAATCTGGTTTAGACCTGAGCGCTGAGCGTTCGTCAGTTTTTTGTACTTCATAGATTCTTCAAAACCACTCGCCTTCTCCCTGAAAAATTAATGAATGCTGAGCTTCAAAAGATAAAATGGTATCGTAGGTGTGGAGAGATGGAAGGCACGTACCAGAAGAGGCCCTCCCAAGTAGGAAAGTATGTGCCCTTGAAGAGAGTGTGCTCCAAAATCCCCTCCACACCACCCAGGGCCTGAATCATATCAGTACGATAGTTGTTGAGATTCCACAGTTTACCATCATGGCGCTGATGTGTCCACCAGAACGGATTCTGCTTCAGCACCTGATACTGCTTGAACTCCGTTCGAACACGCCACCCTTTGTCGTAGGCCAAGGTGTGCCGGTCCTTCTGAAAGAGAGTGTTAATTCGCGGAATACCCCGGTCCCAGCTGTCCTCCAAATCTTCCAGGGTCAAACGTCTAGGAAGAGGAAACATCCAGTGTCAAGTTGGCGGTTAAGAGAAACGCCAATATTCATGACTTGGATAAAAAGCGTTTAGACAATAATCAAAGGCCCCGTATTTCACCTTTACAGTAGTAAAATTGAGTACTCAGTGAATTTTGAATTAATTAGCTAATTAGCGAGCCTGTGAGCCAAAAGCAATCTTGTCTTTAGGGGTATATAGTGAGTAGGGGTTTAATTTAGGAATCCACACCCTGAGGCTTCCCAATAAATCCACACCAATTATTGTTAACACCGGCAATAGTAAGGAGATCGAGTTTGACTCCGCAATTCATGTAAACTCAAGATTCTCATTTGATTATTGATTCCTGATTATTTATGGCTTGCGACATAATGTGTATGCATGAAACACCACAAATGCTAACATTTGGGAATATTAGGGTCTGGAATACCAGGTCCTTGGGTTATATAGAAAGTAGCGTACCATGGGCACTAATTTAAAATATTTGCACCAGAAACTGAAGCAACTCTTAAGTCACTAGTCACAAAGAAAGTGGAAGCAATAATAAAACTCAAGAAAACTTCCTATCCATTAGGTGGACAGATTTGCATACATCTGCAGCACAGGCACTAATCACCAAATAAAAGTGCATGTAGAAGCCAGCAAAAACATCAATCCTCATAAGAATCCCACGAGAAATGTTTCGTTACCTTAATCCTCAAAGCCGATACGAACCTAATTATGCCATTCTAGCATCAATGCATTTGTATAGAATCAAATATTCACCCTAGCCCCAGTTTCCGCTCTGCCCGTACTGCCAAAGCCACCGACACCTAAGACTACCTGCTTACAACGAAAAACCATTCAGAGCAACCTCATTTTAACACCAGCGGTAAACCAGATGAAAAATTTCCATAAAGCTAAATTTCACAAAACAACTTCCTCATTCAGAAAAAAGTTACATTGACACAGAACTTACCTATTTTGCGCATTGGCCTCCTGACGTTTAAGTGCGTACTCGGCCCACACGGACTGAGAGTCACGGAACTCGGTCTCCCAGGTCTGGATGTAGGAAAAGAGAGTTGGAATCACCTGGTCTTCATCGTGGCTCATGCCTGAGCGGAAGTGTGTGATGCCCACGTCCGTCTGCTTGGACCATCGCAAGTCGGACTGAGGGATGAGCACGTGACCCATGCTCAACATGCCCAGACCGCCTAGCTCCTGCGCACAGATGGAGGAAAAAACCAAACGCATTTGAATATAACCGCAGAAAAATCGTCAAAGCGAACAGGAGATTGTTGAACTGCCAATAGTGATGTGTATCAACAATCGCTTTGAATCGAATGAGGTTCCAATAACCCAGTTAGTAACACAATCACCTATCTCGATTTTACCGTTGCCATAACATGTTTGCCATAGAAATCATCCAAAAACGATCGGATAACTTAAGCTTTACAAGGTCAAGGAAAGCCCATCCCGGGAAATACACGATTTACAATTATTTTTGAAGTATTCAGTTTTGCGATCTCTATGTTGGCTAGATAAATGTGTATTTTGAAGGGTTAAAATCATTACGAGTGACAATCCTTCTTTTACAAATAGTTTTCAAACTTGCATCGGAATGTAAAACAGCCGTAAGGCATCTCCTAATGGCCCCACTTTGGTATCCCCATCTAGTCCAAATCAATTCAACTTTCACGACTCCAAGTGCAATGAGACTAAATGAGAATTTTGGCAACTAAGGCAAGATTAATTGGAGCATCCGCTTTGAACGCAGCTAACGTTCAAAAAATATACTTCTGTCAACTTCAGGCATGCCACTAATATTCAACAACAAAGCATCAAACTTGGTAGCCTAGCGTGAACCGCAAATCCAGCTTCAAAACGTATCAATGAGGCAGCATTCTCCCATGCAACAGCTATAGCAGAAAATTTACAGACACATCCAAGGCTCAACACTTGATGGCAAAGTTGCGTACCCTTGCCGAGAGTGGAAAGAGTGCAAAAGTACGAAAGCTGGCTTCACTAATGGAGCTTGTAACGTACCTTGGGGGTATAAAAGACAACAGGTGGAAAACGAGCCGGCATCTTTGAATTAAGACCAATTTTGATGCGCGTCTGGATTTTGTTCTCGCACTTCACCAACAGGTCCAGCAGAGGCACAGTGGAACTGGCAGCCTCACGGAAGTATGTCATAAGACCAATGAGGGCGGTATTCCATTTATTCACAATCTTCGTGAAAGTCGTCGACCCCGAAGCCATGAGAATCTGACGTACGCGATTGTGGAATCGCTGCATCGATTCGTCGTCTACGCGGAGGAAGCATTGAGCAGTGCGCTCCTTCGTCACCTGGAGCAGGAGTGAATGAAAGCGATAAAGGGACTTAATTTCCAGCATGAATTGATGTAAAAGCGTTTTTCTACCCCGAAAGGCGAAACATAGATGTACGAAATTTCCTCCCTCAAAGGCAAAATCCTACGAGCAATGAAGTTTCTTCGTCGCAGAGAATGTTGCCCACCATGAGGAAGGATTTAAGCATGGTGTGCAATCCTCCGTGTCACACTGATTGTTAATAAAGCTAAATGTTTTCAGAGCAAATGAGGCAAATAATGGGAGCCAAAAAATTTAGCGCCTGCAGAGCATGAGTGTTACCGTAGTTTCCAGGAGAGCATTAGAGATAAAGAATAAGGCAATCACGCTAACGCACCTCATTTTGCAGATGCCATACTCCACCCGGAAGGTTAACATCGGAAGCCTGGCTAGGAGCCCTACATGCTGGTCGAATGCGACACTCAAATCCACACATCGCAAACAAGAGATTAGGATTATCCTTTGAGTATACAGACACGAAGGAGCTTTCCCAATCAATCGTGGTGACAGAGCGTGGCAAACGATTCTTAATGTCCCAGAATACCGCCCGACCCAAGTTGACATCGTGCTTCATCAGCCGCATGCGCGAGTCCCGAGGCCAGCACTTCTTATTATTGTAGCCCACTATGTTTTCGTTGTTAGGATCAGGGTGCTCTGTGAGGTAGCGTTGAATGAGATCCCTTGCCTCCTCAGCACTGAAGCGCAGAAACATCCAGAAACGGTCAACATAACGTGTGTAGAGGCGAATAGGGTGAGCAACCTCTGTGGCGGTGTCCTGGAACTGCAGAAAGTCGTTGGGCATTTGAGGAGAGCCTGCCATCTCAGAGGAGCGCTCCAGACCGACAACAAGAAGATCGAGAACCAAACCGTAGTACTGCATGATGAATGACGCAAACTGAAGTCCACGAATTATGCCATAGCTGTTGATATGGTTCATGTCTTTGTAGTTTATCACAACGTTGTTCTTTGCTGTCATGTAGTCAGCAATGTTGTGATCGACGATGAGGCGCAGCAAACGGTTGAGCAGAGTGAGATCTACCTTCTCATAGACTTTTTCGAAACGCGTCTCAAGTAGCACGTTGCACTCGCCCTCGCTAGTCTCCCAAACATCCTAAAGTGGTAATCATAAACCAAGGCATCAACGCACAATGAAAGTTCATTCATCGTTTTGTTAAATTATGATGTTAATACGGTGGACCAGAAATTTACAACACCAGTTGAATGATAAAATGTTGTTAAGGGATAGGATGTACACAGAGTGAAGTGACTGTAAAAAAACAACTCCAAATCCTCTCAGGACACCGCATTAAGCTCATGATGATGAATAACAGTTTTCACAAAAATGCAAAACCAGTCCTTCCCATTGTTAAAGTGTATTAAAACTTCGTTATTAAACCGTTACTTTGGCGGAGGCCATTTGTAGGGGAATTCAACTGCTACCCCTTCTTAAATGTCCTGCGATTTTGATAAAACGATTGCTCAATAAATCCTACCCTTGGATGGATAGCCTCCTCCACTAGCTTCTCCTTAGTGGCCTGGTTTCTGACAGGCGCCTGGGTGAAACTACCACTAGTTAAACATTCAACCGACTGCATTTCAAGAAATCAAGAAAAAGCAAAACCGTTCCCCAACCTGAATGGTGGAGAACATTGAACCCCACACAAAATGTTATTAATTTATGTAAAAAATCACTAGTATCAAAAGTTCATTTTGTCACATAATGGTCTACTTATTGAAACCGAACTGGCAAAATCAAATGGCTAAAGACTGAAATAACTTACCCCTACGGAGCACAATCTAATTTGGCTCCTTGAAACTAACCTTCAGATTGTTAATGCCCTGACACCACTTGTAAACTAAAAGCGGAGGGGGCTCAGAATCCGCTGGCTTAATCCAAGGTGGGAAAAGCCTTCGCTTATCCGCCTCATACCACAAGTATTGGTCCAAATAAGCGTCGGTAATCTTTTCCAGCGGCTCAACGTCGTAAACTGGTACAAGGTGGCTGTATAGATCCATAAATTCTATTCCCACCTCTTTAAAGGCTCGTTGAGTCAACAGGTGACGCTTGATTCGACTCAGTGCTTCATGCGGACTATCATACGCTTGCTCAATCAGACCCAGTTCCTCACGTTGAGATTGGTTTAAGCGGTTCTTCACAGAATATGATTCACGCAGCCTCTCCAGTGCCAGAATCAACAACTTCGTGTCATGCTTGTAGCTTACTGGAGGGAAGGGAATAGGCGAGAAACGACGGCTCTCCAACCAATGCACCGTTGTAGTGTAAATGGCCACCGCCTCCTCAGGTGTGACATACGGCCCGTCCTTGAGGTAATTATGCTGCCTTTCTTGCTCAGCTTTCAGGTAGAGACGAGTAAGACGTCCCAAATTCTTTTTACACACTGTTTTATCCACTGTAGCTCCACGACGAATGCGCTCCCGATTGTAGTGAGCTGTGTTTGTCCACCAATCAGCCTTTGCCTTCACGTAACGCAAAATCATATTTTCGATAGGAATGGGCATATTAGGAACCTTCCAGGGTATGTTGGCCTTCCAACAACGCCAAGCTTCACTAAGATGCTGTAGAATAGTTCTTGCCTTGTTCTGCTTAATTCCCTCGGGCATCATGTCGATGATATCATGCATTACAGCTGCACGCAATTCCAAATCATAGTGCGATTCCACACGCTGCTTAGTAACGGTCTTAGCCACGCCCTTGGAGTGGCGCCCCTCAAACTGCCGAGACAGAAGGTTGCCCAGCCATCGCTCCAAAAGGGGAGTGATTCCACGCATGAAGAATAGCCAGACGCGCCACGCTGGTGCCCACATACCAACCCCGGGGCCTTTACCCACTGGACCAGTGTTAAATCGGTAGTAGATCAAATGTTTAAGGTCTTTACACATACGAATTTGTCGCATGAGTTTGTACTTGTAGCGGTACATGCCTGTGAGTTGACCAACATGGGAGAAGATGTATTGTAGACCATCAGCAAGCTATTTGGTATGAAAAAAGAAATCATCAGAAAAGGCGGCATCACAGTCAACCCATACTGTGCTTTAAAGCCAACAGATGGGAAGGACTGGGTAGTTCACATGCTAACTACCTTCTGGACCCCTGCGATATCATCTTACCTGATAGGCATCCACGTTGCCCAAACGGTACTGCACATGGCTATCAACCACTAGCTTGGTCAGGCGAAGGATCTCGCGACAAAGATGGAAGGCATTGCCGAAACGTGACTTTTTGCGTTCCTTTGTCGTCAAAGTCTTAACCGGTTTCAGGTTAAAGTTGTAGTCTAGGTGAAGATAGTTAAGGTTCTTTCGATGAATCAGCAAATTTAGCATATTGTAGCCCTGACGACAAACTTGGAGGCCCACCTCCACCCAGTCGAGTGTAGTGGCTTGGAAGAACTTGGTAGCCTTAAATGAGCGGAAGAGATAGCGCTTCCGCTGTGGTTTCGGTTTCCTATGATGGAGAGCGTTGAGCACGAAGTACTTCAATAACTTTTGGTAAGAAACACGAACCTAGAATGGAGAATTAGAGGAATAAAATAACCTACCTTCACTGGCATTCCAGAGGGACAGTGCTCACGATACCAGGTTTGAACCAATGGGACGTCAAGGGCACGCCGAGTGCAACCAGACCTAAGATTGAAGGGCCTGGGTGCCCAGAGAAGACCGATACCGTTGGCCGTATTATCTGTGTATAAGGGCGTCTCAGTCATAAAGGGCCTATAGTGCTCCGGAAGGCTAAATTCTTCATCCTCGTCCAAGCTTGCGACGTGAGCCTCTGGAACCTTCACAGTGTGACGTTGTGAAATTGGATTGATTAGAGGGTCAAAGTAGAAGGCCGGGAGGTCAGGATCTTCGGTCTTTATGAAGAGAACGTTTGGAGTATGGTACCATGAGAGGTGAACTTGGAATGGATAACTATTATACAAGTAGGGAAAAGCAATTCTATACTCCGTGCGAATGGGCTGACGGATTATGATCTTGTTGATATCGTTGAATTCATTCCAATCCTCGTCACTAGGAAGCAAATAGTCAGTGAAAGAAGAACCTACTCGAGATTTTTATCTTTTACCAGTGGTTCAAACTTCGGACCACCTGGTAGAGCGACGTTAAGAGCCTTAGCAGTGAAAAAGGACTTGAGGTCGAAGAGATAGAAGTAATTATCATCCACAAGATCAGTCAAAAGGCAGTTTGCCAGACGATATAGATTCGACATTATTGGAAGTGGAAGATTCCAATGTCGATATGTGAGACCATTCACGTGCCTTGAATAGAAGAAGGGTGTCAACCGATAATAATAACTTCGAGACCATATCAAACACAGAGATTTGCGGTTCCCCAAGGTAATAATTGCGCCTTCGTCTAAGTTAATGGAGTTATTCAATTGCGCTTCCCAAGTGGAGACAATAGTTATCCTGTCTCGTCAGGTTCCAACACAAATATCCCAATGCTGAGACAAACTTACGGAGTCTCGGCGAGGGGATTCCTATCATAGAACCACTCAGCAATAGCACCATCTTCTTCAGGGTCAAGATCCATTTGGATTGGCTCTAGAGGTTCGACGTCTAGGATGTTATCGGCGTAGTCTAGCGGAGGTTCTTCATCATCGAAGGGAGGAAAGCGCATTCGCTTGAAGTGCCGTCGATCTCGTTTTTCACGGCGCATCATGATCCACATAGAGCTCCACTGGGCGACATAAATCGGCTCGACAACCCAAGGTATTTCATTCACGAAAGTGATGGCCCCAGTGATGTGATATAAAACCTGAAATGGTTAGAATGGAATAACTTGAAACCTGCCTTAACATCTCTTATTTGCTCCCAGGGCATTGGCATGTTCTCCAGAAGTTTCAAGATAGCATGGGGCATGTACTTGAGCGCTCCCAAATAAACTCGTTTGTCATGGCGAAACTTGCGATTGGTCATGTCACCATGATCGCGGACAATTTTGCGAATGTGCTCAGGGGGCATGTCCTCCTTCTGTGCCTCCACAAAGCCAAACTTCCGCTTGTCCGCATACTTCTTTGATTGCAGTTGCTGCCACTCTCGTGCTAAAATGGTAAGCTCGGTGTTAATGCAATCCACAACCACTAAACTATGCCTAATGTCAAAACCAACCCTTATTTGCGGGAAGCATCACGCAGAAGAGGTACGCTATTCCGGCTACTGAAGTCTATCGCTACACACAACGCACTGGCGTGGCTTTGTCATTATTGGTCAACTTTGTGTGTCCACAATTCCACTTAAATCAAATCCATTGAGAAATTGGTGATAGCACCTACCCACCGTAGAATAATGAATTATAGTCCTTATTAATGCGTACGTACTAAAAGCACTCGTTATTCTAATACTTTTAGTAATCGCTAAAAAAATTTTGTATCTACTCGTTCTGAGTCTAGTGACTACTGGTCAGCAACGTTAAGTTCAGAATCTCTAGTTTTCGCTTTGCTGTGCTTCCTACTCGGTTTATGGTTGGTCTTATGTAATAACCAGACCTTGTCAGAATAAAGAGTGTCAAATTGGTCTTTATTGCTCTGCCTTAAAGAAAGAAGCTTGCATCACGCACTTTTATGAGCATACGTGTTGTGGTTTGACTAATCCACAACTAGCAGTCACTCTGACAATCACCGCACTCTTGACTGAGAGCCATGTAGCGTCCCGAGACTTCCTGTAGGGTAGTAAAGGGCATAAGTGAGGGTGAATACGTGTACTTGGAAGATGAAAGGGTAAATGGGACCTGAACGTGGCCCGAAGGCCAGCCCACGTGTACAGAGGCCAGACGACTTCTAAATTGACCATCAGACGTCTGGTATTTACATAAACAATGTGTTGCACTACCTCTCTCTTCTTTTGAGCGACGTCCTCGGCTCTCCCCTTTGGTACACCTCCCGCGCCAGCCACTACAACATATCCAGTACTATATGAAGGCACCCACGTACCAACCGCCCCAGTCGACAGACAACATGAGACTGAGGAACTGTACCTGGTCTTCTCGGCAGCTTCAACTGGATCTGGTGTTGACTATTAATTGCTTCCAGTAGTAGACGGTGTAATTATGGTCAAAAACAGTTATGTTACAGGGAAAACGGAATGAACCACTGTCCCGTATGTAAGGAGAACCGTGGTGTCAATCCCAACACCTAAATACGGACACGACACGAAACTTTTCCAGACAGTTCGCGGTGGTGTCGCTTCAGTTGTTAATAGCTTGTCTGCGGAACACGGAAATAAGGTGAAAACAAATGCAGACGTCGGTATAAATCCCTTCTTCGTGAAGGATTCGGGGATTCTCCGTCAACAATGTAAATGCGCCTCCTTCAATTTACGTCCTCTTTTCACCTGTATCTTCATCCATTACACTTCAATAGAGTTAGACTTCCTTCTACGTATGTATAGCTCATGACTGCCGTTGCACAACGCCAAAATGCGCTTACTAATCTTGACTTTCCTCACTAAAAGATAGAATTCCTTTGCAGCCTTGTCTGCTGGTTGGAGTATATCCTTCTTATCACGACAAGAAGGGTTTCAAATTTCCGGCTGAGGGAACCCGATTTTGGGGTTCAACAAATTGTCAGGCTCATAGAAAATCAAATCCAGAGCATCAACACCAAGAACAAGCGGCATACTTCTCCAGATTCTGAGCGATTTGTAGGTACTGAAACATTGCATCATCCGATCGAGCCATTGCTCGTCGGCTGGTTCGTATTGTTCTTTTCCGGAAACCAGTCGATTAATTGGCAAAGTTTAACAACGCAAACGTAGGATGCTAGTAAGGCAGAGGTGTCCGGTAGGCAATAGATTTTCCCGGATACTCCGTCACTTTTAACAAACGACCAACGAAGAACAAGCCGCTTTGATCAGCGTAGCGTCGCGAGACTCCCTAGTCGGTATAAGAAGTCAGTAAGTGCAGCTGGATGCGTACTCCGAAGACGACATGGCAAATGAGCCCGGGCATGGCCCAAAGGCTACCCCACGTGTACAAGGGCCAGACAAATCCTAAAGTGACCGCCAATCGTCATGCGGTCATATAAACGAAGTATTACAGTAGATATCCTCCTTTTTTCAGGCAAATTATTTATACGTCTCTACCTCATGTTCAAGCACGTATTCAGTCTGGAATGCCAGCACATGAAACCACGCCTCAAATAAAGATTGCAGATTCATAACGAGTCCATGACTATAATGCTTTGTTTTATGCGATTGGTCTGGCCCTTGTACTCGTGGGCTGACCTTCAGGCCATCTTCTATTCAGAATACATATATCCAGCCTCACTTACTGCCTTCTTCCACATTGTGGGATATCTCGGGACGCTAGGGCGTCATCCGATCTGCAAAGATGTGGCAATTTATGAATGGTACAGGTGCATTAGCTTTTGTAGTACCGATCATTTTGCAATATTTTTTAGTCTATGCAGTATGACATACACTTCATCTCGAAAATGACGGGCTATTTACGAATTGCGTCATCTAGGTGCAGAGTTCAAATTACTTTAGCCAATATTATGTCACGCACACAATTTTCGGCTCATTCCTATTACGTTCAAAAGATGTAAATAATTTGTATCATTATTTCCACTCGCTTGTTTTAACGCTTCATCGAGTAGGGACGCATCGTGTTTCAGTCCTGCTCCCCGCGAAGTACCTCAGTTCTCGTTTCTGCAGTCGTGTAGGTGCTTTCCTCCTGTGGGTCATTGTACTTTCATAAAAACATGGCGGTTAAGTCTTTTCTATTGCTTTTCTTGGTTTTTGGTTGTTGTGCTGGATCTAGCGGTTTCCTTCATACTCTCATATGTCCTTGTGTTTGGGTAAGACTTGCGTTTTTGCCTTTGAAGACTGCCGTTTTGACGCCACGCAGCTACGCAGTTGGATGGAATGCTGGATGAGAGTATGGGTGGAAGTCAGTGTTCTTGTGCTTTCGTTAGTTGTTTTAGATTAATTCGCTGAAATTTGTTTTACCTATGCGAACAAAAGTACCTTGTGTAAATCTAATGGTTGAATCCCGCTTCCTTGCTTTTACTCCAGCATCATGGAGGAACAGTCACAACAACCTCAAAATGGTACCCCTTCGGGTCTCCCAGAGGCCAATTCTGTCAAGGAACCAGTGATTCTGGAGACTCCTGAAGATGTACGCAACAGGAGAAATCAGGTTCTTGACCGTTACGCTGCCTTTAAAGAGGCTACGGATGAGCGTCGTCGTCGATTAGAAGATGCCAAAAGGTATCAGTACTTCAAACGCGATGCTGATGAGCTGGAGAACTGGATTCAGGAAAAGCTGCAAACCTACAGCAGTGAAGACTACAAGGATCTAGCTAACCTTCAGGTAGTTTGTTCAAGCTCCTTTCATTATTTTTGCCTCAGAGCAAGAAGCAAAAGCATCAAGCCCTCGAGTTGGAGGTCAATGCTCACTTTGAAACTCTGAACGCTCTCGACGCTAGCGGTGAAGAAATGATTTCTCAGCACCACTACGCTTCGGAGATCATTAGGGTATGTGCCTTCTTTCTTTTTTTAATATTTTGCTTTTAGGGTATCTTAGATGAATTGCATGCGCTTTGGGAGAAGCTGATGGCTATGTTCATGCAAAAAGCCCGTCTTCTCAACCTTACTCTTGAATATGTTAACTATCTACGCCGTGTTGATGAACTCCTCTTCTGGATTCGCGAAAAGGAGGCATTTGTTACCTCTGAGGAATTCGGCCAGGATCTAGAACATGTGGAGGCTCTCCAAAAAAAATATGATGAATTCATGAAGGTTCGTTTCCGTTTCTCAGTGCCTATTAACGCATCGTTTCTAGGATTTAGAGTACCAGGAGGGCCGGGCGATGGAAATATATGCCAAAGCTGATGAACTGCTGAAAGAGGAGTTTCCAGAAGAAGCTCTCGTTATGGAGAAAAAAACTGAGGTCCGTGAAGCCCTGGATCGTCTCAAGGAACTTGCAAGAAAGCGCCAGAATAAGCTTTATGAGGCGCACGAGATTCAGCGTTTCTTTCGAGAAACAGACAAGGCCATCTCCTGGCTCAATGAGAAATCTATTCCTCTCGCTATTGAGGACTGTGGACGCGATCTTGTCTCCGTGCAAGCCTTGCAGCGCAAACACGAAGCTCTTGAGCGTGATTTGGGAACCCTAGAGGACAAAGTCACCCAGCTTAGTACTGATGCTGAAGCTCTATCCGAGAAGCATCCTGATTCGAGGAATACGATTCAGGAGAAGCGAAATACGCTTACAATGGCTTGGCAAGATCTCAAAACGAAAGCTGCCGACAGGCGCGCGAAGTTGGAGGAATCCTTCCTCTTGCATCGTTTCCTTGCTGACTGGCGCGATCTTACTCTGTGGATCGCGGACACAAAGGCCATCATTTCGGCTGACAAATTGGCGAAAGACGTTGCAGGCGCCGAGGCCCAGGTCGAACGTCATAACGAGCACAAGGGTGAGATTGATTCCCGCGAAGATGCCTATAGGTCTTGCATGGAGGAGGGTCAACGTCTTGTTGATATGGGCCATCCAACAAGTGCAGATGTTGTCAAGAAGATGAACACTCTGCAGAATGAGCGTGATTCCCTTCTTGAACTTTGGGAGGCTCGTCGTGTTCAGTTTGAGCAATGTATGGATCTCATGCTCTTCTTTCGTGATGCTGAACAAGCTGAAGCATGGATTGCCAAGCAGGAGGCTTTCCTTGAAAATAAGGATGTTGGCGATTCGCTAGATGCAGCTGAAGCTCTCATGCGGAAGCAGGAAGATTTCGAGAAGTCTCTGACAGCACAGGAAGAGAAAATAAAGAATTTGGAAGCATTTGCGGATAAACTGATTGCTGGTAATCATTATGCATCGCCAGAGGTAGCTGAGCGCCGTGAATCTCTGCTGCGACGTCGGACTGCCCTTCAGGACAAGGCTGCTCTTCGCCATCAGCAGTTGGTAGACTCGCATCACTACCAAATGTTTGACCGCGATGCAGATGAAATGAAAGCTTGGATTATGGAGAAACTAAAAACTGCCACTGACGAAAGCTACAAGGACCCAACTAACTTGCAAACTAAGGTACAAAAACACCACAATTTTGAATCTGAAATCAACGCAAACCGATCACGAATGGACGAGGTGAAGAAAATGGGGACTGACTTGATCGACGGTCATCATTACAAATCTGATGACATAAGGGCACGTATTAGTGAATTGGATGATCTATGGCTCCAACTCCTTGACGCTATGGCAAAGAAGGGTAAGAACCTAGAACAGGCCAACAACCAGCAGCAGTTCGTGCGCAATGTTGAGGATGTGGAGCTTTGGCTCTCCGAAGTGGAAGCCAAGTTGGCCTCAGATGATCACGGAAGAGATCTGAACAACGTAATTAACATTCAGAAGAAGCACAACCTTCTCGAATCTGATGTGCAGTCTCATCGCGATCGCATCTGCGCGTTCCGAGATCAGGTGGAGAAGTTCAAACAGGAGGGTCATTATGATGCTCCGATCCTTGAACAAAAGCAGCAGCAAGTGATGGCCCGTTACGAGGCTCTTGCAGAGCCACTGAAGAGTAAGCGATCTCGTCTGGATGATGCCTACAGGCTACACCAATTCTACCGCGATGTAGAGGATGAGGAGGATTGGATTCGAGAAAAAGAGCCTGTTGCAGCTTCAAACAATGTTGGTGAGTATTCTAAAACCCTTTTGTGATGCTTTTCCTGGTGGCTTCCAATATCAGTCGGTAATTTATATGCACTAGATGTAATCCACTTGTTTGGTAACTTGCTAGATATTCTCGGTCTTTGATTGCTTCCACTTTTTTTCTCTATCGGTTGACAGGACCATATGATTGTCGATTCGCAATAGTAAATCACTCTTTCCTTAAAAAGGTCTTTAAAAGTACAGCTTTCGGTGCTCGTTCCACGCCCTAGAGCTAGATCTAGTGCGTTTTTAGAATCACCGAATATCGATTACTGCTTTTCACTGTCAGCCAGGGAGTTGCATGGCTGTCATTTTGCGATAGTGTACAATCTACAAGTTTAAATGAGAGGAAGACTTCCTCATCATTGAAGTCAGCGTTGTGTAGGCATAGGTCTTTGATTACCGTCTTCATTGCCGACTTACACCTACCATAAGTATCCCTAGTTTTCTTGCAATTGAAGTCTATTTGCCTTTCTTGAAGCGCAGAATGTCAACAGCTGCCTTCCTAGTGCTATAGTAAAGTTTTTTGTCGTTGTGGTAGTGGGCATTAAATGATTTGTTTTAATCCCACCGTCCTCTTCTTTTTTGACCTAGACAGCATTTTTTACTTCTCAGGTCGTGACTTGATTGGAGTACAGAATTTGATCAAAAAACATCAGGCCGTGCTAGCCGAAATCGCTGGTCATGAGCCGCGCATCCAAGACGTCTGTCAGACAGGTGAGAATATGGCTCAACAGGGCCATTTTGCCTCGGACGAGATTAGAAAGCGAATCACAGGCCTCAGTTCGGTCTGGGAAGATCTGCGTCAAAAGGCTGAAAACCGACGCAAACTACTGGATGATTCACTTCAGGCTCAGCAGTACTTTGCGGACGCTAGTGAAGCTGAGAGTTGGATGCATGAGAAAGAGCCTCTTGTTGACTCTAAAGAGCTTGGGCGCGATGAGGACTCGACTGAGGCCCTCCTCAAGAAACATGACGCTCTGATGGCCGACATTGAAGCTTATGGATCGACTATCGAAAGTTTGGGCAAGCAAGCCTCTGAGTGTGGGATGCAGGAGGTCCCTGTAGGTGACTTAATGGGCAAAGAGCTGGTGGTGGCTTTGTACGACTACCAGGAAAAAGCTCCTCGTGACGTCTCCATGCGCAAAGGTGAGATTCTCTCCCTTCTTAACAGTTCCAGCAAGGACTGGTGGAAGGTGGAGATCAACGACCGCCAGGGTTTTGTTCCTGCTGCGTATTTGAAGAAGATCGACGCACCACTGACGGACAGCCAGTCTCACCTCTTAGACCAACCTCTAACTGTGGCATTACAGCAGAAACGGCTTGAGGAGCAGTACAATAACCTTCTCAAACTCGGTCGTGACCGTCGTGAGCGTCTGCAGGGCTCAGTTCAGGCGTACCAGCTTGTACGAGAGGCAAATGACCTGCATCAGTGGGTTGTTGAGAAGGAGCTCCTTGCTGTTACTGAAACCATTGTTCCTGTGGGACTTGAAGAGGTAGAGTGTGAGCGGAAACGAGTGGACAATCTCATGGCAGAACAGAAGGATCGTGAACAGCGCGTGCAGGATCTACGTGACAAGGCGGATCGTTTGAAGCGCGGAGGTCAGACGGAGGCTGTGGAGAAGATTGAGGGCATTATAATGCAGTTACAGAAGAAATATGAGCAGCTTGAAGAGGTAACCACAAAGAAAGTTAAGAATTTGGATGACATCAATGCGGTGCAGCGCTACCACCGTGACTGTGACGAAGCTAAAGAGTGGATTGACGAGAAGGATGTTCGGCTGACCACCGATGATGTTGGCAAAGATCTCACCTCTGTACAACGCCTTATTCGGAAACACGATGCACTTGAGCGTGATCTTGTTGCTCTGGGGGATCGCGTTAAGCAACTTGATGTAAAAGCTGCTGATTTGGCACAGACGCATCCACAAGAGGCTGAGGGCATCTGCCAGCATCAGGAGCAGATTAATCAAGCCTGGAATGACCTCACTGCTAAGGCCGAGGCTCGTAAAGCCAAGCTGTTGGACTCCCTCGATTTACAGAAGTTCCTTGCTGATGGACGGTTAGTTTTGCCCTTTATTCTATTTCTTGCGATCAAATTAATAAGCGAGTGATCTTACCCCTTGTGTTCTCAGTGATCTTCAGTCGTGGATGAACACGATGAATGCTCTTGTCTCCTCCAACGATCTCGCAACCGATGTGACCGGAGCTGAGGCTCTAATTGAGCGTCATCAGGAGCACCGCGCTGAAATCGATGCCCGTGCCGGAACTTTCGATAACTTTGACGCTTTTGGGCATGAGTTGTTGGAGAACAAGCACTACGCTAGTCCTGAAATCGAGAAACGCATTGAAGAGACGCTTGTGGCAAGGGATAATCTCCTCAAGTACTTCAGAGTTTTTAAGTTAAACACTGTCAAAGAACCGTTCAAAGTTCAACCCACTTTTTCCTTTTAATAGAGCATGGCAAGATCGAGAGAAGGCTCTGGAGCAGAACTTGAAGCAGCAACAGTTTTTGCGTGACTGCGAACAGGCTGAAGATTGGATGAGTATGCGTGAGTCTTCCCTTGTTGGCACCACTGGTGAGGATGTGGACAAGGTAGACGCTTTGATCAAAAAGCACGAGAATTTCAATCGTGCTATCACTGCACAGGAAGCGAAGATTCAAGCTCTGGACGCCTCAGCAAATGCCCTTCTTGCCGAAGGTCACTATGACGCTCCGGGAATACAGGCGAAGCGTGAGGAGGTTCTCGGACGTTGGGCGGAACTAAAACAGGCCATGATTGAGAATAGGAGTCGTCTGGGTGACGTACAAACCTTACAGGCTTTCCTTCGCGATGCTGATGAGATGGAGATTTGGATCAATGAGAAGCTTCAGGCTACTATGGACGACTCTTACAAAGACCCGACAATTAACGTGCAGGCGAAGCATCAGAAACATCAAGCCTTCCAAGCAGAATTGGCCGCAAATGCTGAACGGCTGCAAGCTATTCTGGGGGCTGGCCAACGTCTTATTGAGAAAGGTCAGTGTAAGGGTCAAGAAAATGCCGTTGAGGAACGGTTGACTAAGTTGGCTGATCAGTGGGAGGACCTTATAAGGCGGTCTGAGGAGAAATCAGCTAAGTTGCAGGAGGCCAATCGCCAAGCGGCTTACAATGCCGGTGTGAAGGACATTGAGTTTTGGTTGGGTGAAGTGGAGGCCTCATTGGCAAGTCCTGATTATGGGAAGGATTCTGCATCGGTGGATAGCCTTCTCTCCAAACACCAGGTCCTCACTACTGATATTCAAGCTCATGAGGACCGAATTTCTGAGTTGAACGCCCGAGCCGACGAGCTTTACGCCGCAGGGGCCATCGACGCAGATACTATTAAAGAACGCAAGCGATGGATCAACGAGCGTTACGAGAAGATTCGAGCGTTATCTGAGAATCGGGCGATAACTTTGGGTAAGGCGAAGTGTCTGCACGACTTTTACCGTAATTTGGATGACGAGGAGGCATGGATCAGAGAAAAGAAGATTCTAGTCAGTTCAGAGGACTATGGGCGTGATTTGATTAGCGTGAGAAATTTGAAGAAGAAGCACAAGCGTCTCGAAGCCGAGATTGTAGCTCACAAACCTGCGGTACATCAGGTCACTCAACAGGGTCAGGAGCTCATGTCAAATACGGAGCTGGCTGACCCAGTGGAAATTCAAAGGCGCATTGATGTGAGTTCCCTTTTTAAATTATTTCCTTTTCACTTTTGCTTCAATGTGATTTTCCGTGGTATTACATGATGATAGTATCGCTGATTTTGTAACCAGGTTGTGCGAGAGGTTAAACCGGATTTGCGTATTTGGTGTCAGCGTCAATGTGGAGGTAGCATGATGGCGAAATTTAGTTTTGTTGCGTTCATTTTGCTGCAATGCGACCCAAGGCTCACGTACTGAATCTTCGGAATTTTGTTCAATTTTGCAAAATCAGTGTGCTAGTGACTTTTCGTTTACGTTTATAACTATTCAAGTACTAGTTTCGAATCGAAACTAGTGTCATAAATGAGTTAGGAAGACTTGAAATTTGTTGCTTCCGTTCGGTTCAGCATTTGAACCAGGCATGGGAGGAGTTGCAGACCTTGACTGCTAACCGCGACCGCAAGTTGGACGAGTCCTCAGATTATCAAGACTTCTTGGACGCTGTTGAAGAGGAGACTGCGTGGATTTTGGAGAAGCAGCATCTCCTTTCATCCGACGACCACGGTGACACCTCGGCAGCTGTTCAGGGCCTCGTCAAGCAACACGAGGCCTTTGAGGCCGATCTGAAGGTAGAAATTTGGCCTTTACTCTGTAGCACACCACACAGGAGCCAGTCATTATCCCTTCTGCTATCTAGGTTCACCACAAAAAGTGTGAGGAGATATGCCGTGCCGGTGCGGATTTGATTGAGCATGGTAATCATAACAAAGATGCCATTGAGCAGAAATGCGAAGGTCTCCGCGAGAAGTTAGAAGTACTGGTGCGCAATGCGGAACGTCGAAAGGCCCTTCTACTAGATAACCACGCCTTCCTTCAGTTCATGTGGAAAACAGATGTGGTGGAACTATGGATTGCCGATCGTGAGGCTCAGGTTCGCTCTGAGGATTACGGACGCGATCTGAGCTCAGTACAGACTCTGTTGACCAAACATGAGACATTCGATACCGCGTTGGAGTCCTTCCGTACCGAGGGTATTAAGACGATAACTGAACTTCATGATCAGCTCATCCAATCGAAACATGCTCAATCACAGGCTATCCAAAAGAGGTAGGTTTATAACTTGCCTTTCTTCCTCTCTTTTTTTGTTCTTAATTATTTTTGTTTTTTTTAGATTTGATACTCTGATTGGTCGTTGGGAAC